CCGGATTGAGGATAAAATAGAAAATGTTAAAAGCAGGTGGGGACATAGTTTTGGAGTGGTTGGGCAATTATTTAATAAACGTTGGAAGAGGGTAAGGTACTCTAGGTATTGGCAGAAGCATGCATAGTTCCTTTTTATAGAAGTGCAAAGGGGACAAAAAGAGTGCAAAAAATTATAGTGGATAAGTTTGTTGATTGTACCAGTAAGTGTAGTGTAAGAGTTATTATTGAAAGAATTAAAAGTAATACGGAGATAAGGAATAGCAGATGACAAGGAGCTTTAGAAAGGTAGGGGTGTGTGGACCAGGTGTTTACAAGTGAAACACATAAGTGAACAGTATTTAGATAAGGCTAAAGAGGTCTTTATGCATTTTGTATTTGGAAAATGGCGTATGACAAGGGTGGATAGGGGGCAATGTGGCAGAAAGGTTGACACGTGTATGGTGTAGGAGGTAGGTACTGAAAGCAGTGAATAGTTTTTACAAGGATAGTGAGGCTCAAGTTAAGTATGTAGGAAAGAGGGAAATTATTTCCCAGTAAAAGCAGCCTTAGACAAGGATGTGGATGTCACCGTGTTTGTTAATATATTTTATAGATGGGGTTGTAAGAGAAGTAAATGCAGAGGTCATGGCAAGAGGCGTGGAGTTAAAAGATAAAGAATCACACATAAAGTGGGAGTTGTCACAGTTGCCTTTGGGCTGAGACACTGTGCTCTTTAGAGATTCTGAAGAGAAGTTGCAGAGAATTGGTGGATGAATTTGTGTAGGGTATGCAAAAATAAGAAATTAAAATTGAATACTGAAGAGTAAGGTTTATGAGGATAACAAAAAGATTAGGTGATGAAAGAATTGATATCAAAATTGAGGGAGAGGGTATGGGGAGGTGAATGTATCAGATATTTGGGAGTGAAACGTGGTCAGCGATGGGTCTATGAAAGATGAGGTGAATCATAGAATGAATGAGGGAAAAGGGTGAGTGGTTGCACTTTAGGAGTCCTGTGGAGACAAGAACTTTGTCCTGGAGGCAAAGAGGGGAATGTATGAAGTATTAATAGTTTTTACCAACACTCTTAATATGGGTGTGAAGCAAGGGTGATGAATGTTGCCGCGAGGAGAAGGCGGAGGCAGTGGAGATGTCCATGTTCTGAGGCAATGTGTGGTGAGAATATAAATGCAGAAGAATTCGTAGTTGGAATTTAGGAGAGGTGCGGGAATACCAAAACTGTTGTCCAGGAGGGCGAGGAAGGGTTGTTTGAGGTGGTTCGGAACATGTAGAGAGAATGGGAGTTAAACCAGAATGACTTCAAGAGTGTATCAGTCTGTAGTGGAAGGAAGCGGGTAGGGTCCGGCCCTAGGAAAGGTTGGAGGGAGGGAACAGGAGGTTTTGTGTGGCGAGGGCTTGGACTTCCAGCAGGCATCGTGAGCGTGTTTGGATAGGAGTGAATGGAGACAAATGGTTTTTAATACTTGACTGTAGTGCTGTTGAGTTGAGCAAAGTAACATTTATGAAGGGGTTCAGGGAAACCGGCAGGCCGGACTTGAGTCCTGGAGATGGGAAGTACAGTGCCTGCACTCTGAAGGAGGGGTGTTAATGTTGCAGTTTAAAAACTGTAGTGTAAAGCACCCTTATCTTGCAAGACAGTGATGTATGAATGATGGTGAAAGTTTTTCCTTTTTGGGCCACCCTGCCTTGGTGGGAATCGGCCAGTGTGATAATAAAAAAAAAAAAATAATAAAATAAAATTATATGAGAGAAACAAATTACAACATTCTCAGGTAAACATTTTTCAAACAATTGATTGGTGGACTACTGATGCCCTGCTATATATTTTGCTAAACATACTATATACTGTATTTAAAAAAAATCATAATTTTATTTTTTTTTTTTAACAAGTCGGCCATCTCCCACCGAGGCAGGGTGACCCAAAAAGAAAGAAAATCCCCAAAAAGAAAATATTTTCATCATCATTCAACACTCTCACGTCACTCATACATAATCACTGTTTTTGCAGAGGTGCTCAGAATATAACAGTTTAGAATGCATATACTGTACATATAAAGATACACAACATATCCCTCCAAACTGCCAATATCCCAAACTCTTCCTTTAAAGTGCATTCATTGTACTTCTCATTTCCAGAACTCAAGTCCAGCTCTATAAAATAACCGGTTTCCCTGAATCCCTTCACTCAGTATTACCCTGCTTACACTCCAACAGCTCGTCAGGTCCCAAATACCATTCATCTCCATTCACTCTTGTCTAACACGCTCACGCACGCTTGCTGGAAGTCCAAGCCCCTCGCCCACAAAACCTTTACCCCCTCCCTCCAACCTTTTCGAGGATGACCCCTACCCCGCCTTCCTTCCCCTACAGATTTAAATGCTCTCCATGTCATTCTGCTTTGATCCATTCTCTCTAAATGACCAAACCACCTCAACAACCCCTCTTCAGACCTCTGACTAATACTTTTATTAACTCCACACCTTCTCTTAATATACAGTATTAGTAACCTAAAGCTTTTTCAGGGTATTTAGGTATTTTTTTATCACTGGGTCATTCACCATCAAGTTATGGTGACCCAAAAAAAGAAAAAAGTCTTCATCACTCTTGCCTCTGGCAAGACAGTGATGTCTTGCCAGAGGCATGCCAATACGTACTACAGTTTAGATGCCCTCCCAAATTGTGAATATTCCCACTCTTGTACTTCCCACCTTCAGTACTCAACACCAGCTAACCATGATCGCTGAATCCCTTCTTAAATGTTTCCATGCTCATACTCCAACAATATCATAAAAACTACTTCCTCCACTCGCTCCTATCTAACACGTTTGAACCGTTCGTGGGGCGACCGCTACCTCACCCTCCCTCCACCATAAATTCATACACCTTTCATATCCTATTTTGTTCCATCCTCTTTAAATGTTCAAGCCACCTCAGCATTTTTAAAAATATTACTGGACTGCAAGATCATTTTTTTTTTTTTTAAGTCGGCTGTCTCCCACCGAGTCAGGGTGACCCAAAAAGACAGAAAATCCCCAAAAAGAAAATACTTTTATCATCATTCAACACTTTCACCTCACTCACACATAATCACTGTTTTTGCAGAGGTGCTCAGAATACAACGGTTTAGAAGCATATACATGTACGTATAAAGATACACAACATATCCCTCCAAACTGCCAATATCCTGAACCCTTCCTTTAAAGTGCAGGCATTGTACTTCCCATTTCCAGGACTCAAGTCCGGCTGGTGAGGGGTTCTTGATCTAAGGAAATGGACCTGTACTCCAGTTCTTTGAATATAATCTGAATGCCTCCCATTTCCCAGGCTCTGTATGACCCTTATGGGTTTAGTGTACTGCATGACTATAACAGTAATGTGCAGGTAACACATAAATTTCAATATAGTTATAAAAAATGTATCTTATTTACACTAATTATCATTGTACATTATTATTATTCTAATCATGGGGGAGCACTAAACCCGTAGGATTATACAGCACATATGGTGGGGGCGGAAGGTAGTCCAGGCTCAATTCATGGAAACCAAAGCAGATCCAATTCCCTAGATCAAGAGCCCCTCACCATCATCAAGGAACCTCCTTTGAGGGGTTATCATTGTACTGGTAGTACATATGTACAGTATATATGTATATTAAAAATAAATTGAGAACATTATTTAATTGTAAAAACAGGTAACTTAATTCCAAGCCTTGTTTTGATATCAGACTTAACCTAGTAACTGTTGCCAAAGCTACCTGCAGGGCATTTAATTTTAGAAAACTATGCAATACTATAATTTTTGTGCTGTAAACCCTTATGGTTATTAGCACTATGTATGATTATATACATTTTTTTGAAATTTTTCTTATAACCTAGCTGAAAAATATCTCATATGGAGAAATACCCATCGGCAAGGCGACATTATCCTTGCTGATCAATGGTTCAGAGAACCGACAAGTTGATAAATTAGACACATGTGCAACTGTTGGGTATCTTTATTGAGGAAACGTTTTGCCACACAGTGGCTTCATCAGTCCAAACAAAGGATTCTCCTTTGTATGACTGATGAAACCACTGTGTGGCAAAACGTTTCCTCATTAAAGATACCCAACAGTTGCACACATTTATCCTTACTCCATATCTACCCCCACCACAGTGTGCGTGTGTTAGTTACAGTTGACAAGGGCACTTGGCCTGTTGTGTATTTGTTTTAAGAGCACCTTTATACTTTCGATGAGTTCAAAGAGTTTCTCCACTCCCAGAGCCCGGACGTGGGCCAGGTTCATCTACTGTTTGCCTGGTCAACCAGGCTGTTGCTGCTGGTGGCCCACTGCCCCACATATCCATCATAGCCTGGTATGATAGGGGCCAGTGAGGGAGTGAATCTGGAGAAAGAGGAGGGGCCAGGGTCTGTGAATACACTACACAAATAACCTGCACATAGGAGAGGGGGAGCTTATGATGACGTTTTGGTCTGACTTGGACCATTTACAAAGTCACAATAACAGAAAGGGGAGGGCGAGTAATAGTATAGTCCCAGCAACAGGGCTGTGGACAAGAGTGTAAGTAGTATAGTAGTAGTAGTGGAGTCCAAAGTACTAAGGAAGGATGAGCACTAACAAGGAGCTAGGGCCCACAAAAGCTAGGAACAAAAACACAGAGGGGGGAAAAATAATGGGCCAAACGCCCAAGGCGTTTGGTCCATTATTATTATCTATGTGCAGGTTATTTGTGTCTTGTTCCAGTCACTGTATCGTGCCTTTTTGTTATTTATCTGTGAATACACCCCTACAGTCAGAGTACAAATAGGTGAGTACACAAATACAGATACTCTTGTACATGAAAACAAACACTTTTTAACTCTGTTTTATTGAAACAAATAGAATGTAGTATTCAATATCTTTATTAATAAAACCACTTTAAGTACCAATGAAAATTCTTAAAATTGCATTATTTGTTTTGTGCAATAATTTCAAAGCTAATTAGTAAAACTTAATTTTTACTCCTTCAACTCAATACAGTCTTCAATATTAACACCATCTTGTGAAGCTTTGTTCCTGAACAGATCCAAAATCCAGTCCACTTTTTTTACAATATCCATTCCTTCTACAACTTTTCCAAATACAACATGTGCACCATCTAACCAAGGACATGCTATAGTTGTTATGAAGAAATTGGTTATTGTTGTATACACGGGAAGTAAAACATTGAAAAGATACCCAGATGTTATTGGGTACTTCAGGGACGTAGTGAGAAGCAATGATGGCACTTATCTTGGTTAAGGGGCATACCATTATATACCGATAACTGGTACACAAGCCCATTACTCAGTGATTTGGCTTGCAGAGTGAACATGGCAATGTGTGTGGTCACAGTGCGTTCTAACGTAAACATAAGCCCTGGGCTCAACGCAGGTGTTCGTGGTGAGTACATGCCTGGTGTTTACTTTGCCAAGACATCAAGGCATTACAGTGCATGACAAATGAGATGTCACTTTGTTGACAACCATTCACGTAATGAAATGCAAGACAGTGGCAAAGTTGATCGAGTGACTAATGAACGTATTCGAAAACCAGTGACAGTGATTGATTATACACAAAACAACACTTGGTTGACCAATGAGACAGCAGATTGCCTTGTTTATTGTGATCGAAAAAGTTTACAAGTGGTACACGAAACTTTTCATCCATCTCAGGACATTTCAATGCTCCAATGCATATAATAGTACCCAATGAAGACTGGCAACAGACCATCGTGATGGTGAATTTTGGTTTGTCTGTTGTCAACAACTCATACATGAAGTACCAGGTAACAACACCTGCTATACAACAAGGTCCTTGAACTCCTCAGATATACCCAAGCGTTTGAGGAGGGAATGGTTGATCATTTCAAAAACAGCTTCCTTCAAACTCAGAAGAAATTTTGCTCAAATAGATGCATTGTCTTGCACATACAAAACGATGGCAACAAAGAACCAAAGACACTCAGTTTATGTGTGAGGAATTAAGGTACCGTCTGTGCATGGTGCCTTGTTTTCAAGAGCTCCCACAAGCTCCAGCAATCTAAAAACCATGTCCAGTGATTGTAAATATGTAAATATATGATAGAACATTAGTATTATACATGATTTGTGCATGTTTTTTGTAATAAACAACAGTGGTAAACAATAATATGGCTAATAAACATTAGTTGTCTGTTATTGTGTTCATACAGTGAGTTTATATATATATCATTATATACAGTATTGGTCTCTCAGGCCCCAAATGTTAGTATGAAAAGAAAAAATTAGAAAAGAAAAGAAAAAACTACAAAAAATGGTAAACAAAGTAATGCACGTATGTGGAAATCGTCGCTGTTGCCACCATCACGTCATTTGGGGTAAACTTCTCGCACTGTATCTCTGTAAGTACTGATCAGAAAATTTTTTTTGTCTAATTACCTTCACAAAAATATACTCTTTAATTCTGTAAGAATTTTTTTTTTTTTTTTTTTTTTTTTTTTCAAAATTTCATGGACACTGGAGCACCACTTCAGATTTTGGCCTTGGACCCTGAAGGGGTTAAACATGGTGTCCTTGTACCTGGCATTCCTTGGCTAAATATACTGTACTATATTATGTACCCACGAGAGTTTGGCACTTCTTTTTAATATACAGTGAACCCTTGATTTAACGGACCGTCTGTTAAATCTGAATTACGAGAATATTTCCCCATGATTATAACAGTAACGGATTGTTCTGAATCTAACGGACTTATTCTGTTAAATCCAAAAGTAAATTTACTCAGTGAATGGTAACAGTAATGGATAATTCTGATTTAATGAACTTTCTGCAATGAATTTACCCAGGAGACCATAAGAATAATAGACAATGACAGTTCTAACAGACTTATTCCATTGCTGTCCAAATGTTTTCTGGGCACATATTTTGCCTGTTAAACTAAACTTTCTCACAGTCTGTCAATCTTGAAATCTGAAAGTTGAATACCCTGTACTGTACTTCACTTCAAGGTTTATAACCACTAGAGATAAATCTACATGCCTTGGAAGATTTGCTCATTAACAGCTTCAAAAGAATTTAAGGGCCTACCTGACAGTGGTCCATTATTATTACTATTATGATTACTGTTAATATAATAATAATAATAATAATAATATATATTAATATTATATTCACAGAAAAGCACTAAACTAACAAGGGTCATACCATACTTGGGAAATGGGAGGTAATGGATTTGATTAAAGGAAATGGAAGGGTAACTATAATTCCTTGAATCAACCAATCTGTCTTACTATGCTGCAAAGACATACTAATCTTGGTATCACTTCACCATCACTAGCTACAGACATATGCCCCAGGAGCTTCCACACTCAATCTTCTTGGAATGATCACCATGGTTAAGGGATGGGAAGGGAAAGGAAAGAGAATAAGCACAAAACCAAATTGATAGCCAAGAGGTTACTATTTTTAAGAGTTGTTGAAACAACTTACTTTGGTGATTACATATCCTATGGATCACAACACCTCACTGCCTGGGTAGCTCACATAATTAGAATTTTTCATATTTTCAATTTGAGGTAACTGTCTGGGCACAGTATCTTCATGCTATATGTTTTCAATATACTGTACAAATAATGTTTTGTTAAATGCATACATAAAAATACTGTACACAATGCATAGGAGTTTAATGTATAATATGAAATTTAACAATTAACAAGAGCTTTTCTTTATTTTCTTTTTTTTTTTTTTTTAACATCAGCTGTTTCCCACCGAGACAGGGTGATCCAAAAAAGAAAGAAAAACCCAGAAAGAAAGAAAAAAAACTTTCATCATTCAACACTTTCACCATCACTCATACATATTCACTGTCTTGGCAGAGGCACTCAGATTTGACAGTTTACATGTCTCCAAACTGCCAATATCCCGAACCCCTCCTTTAAAGTCCAGGCATTGTACTTCCCATTTCCAGGACTCAAGTCCGGCTAACCAATTTCCCTGAATCCCTTCACAAAATATTACCCTGCTCACACTCCAATAGCTCATCAGGTCCCAAAAACCATTTGTCTCCATTCACTCCTATCTAACAAGCTCATGCATGCTTGTCGACCATACAGATTTTAATCTAGGTATACTAAATTATTTTTATATTATCTAAGCCGTTGCTTATTAACAGATGACAAGCCAATTCAGGCAAGGCAACCAGTGGTGTCCCATTAGTACACCACTGGTTGCCATATTATCTATGCCTCACTGTATGCCCTGTCTCACTAGTGCACCAACTGCCACTAAATAGGTCCCATTTTTTTTTTTAGCACCAGCTGCCTCTCACCAAGGTAGAGGAATCAAAAAAGAGAAAGCACATTCACTGTAAATAAAAACAGAACTAAAATTCTATTTTTATTTAAATTAACATAAATTGTAATTGAAAAGGAAGTATTGTGCTATTATACTGTACTATACAGCACTTTAATGGGCTTTCTCTCCCCTCTAAGGCACTGTGAGGTGGTGGTTAACATGCCTCATCATTTTTTTTTTTTTTTTAACAAATTGGCCGTCTCCCACCGAGGCAGGGTGACCCAAAAAGAAAGAAAATCCCCAAAAAGAAAATGCTTTCATCATCATTCAACACTTTCACCTCACTCACACATAATCACTGTTTTTGCAGAGGTGCTCAGAACACAACAGTTTAGAAGCATATACATATAAAGATACACAACATATCCCTCCAAACTGCTAATATCCCAAAACCCCTCCTTTAGAGTGCAGGCATTGTACTTCCCATTTCCAGGACTCAAGTCTGGCTATATAAAAATAACCGGTTTCCCTGAATCCCTTCACTAATATTACCCTGCTCACACTCCAACAGATCGTCAGGTTCCAAATACCATTCGTCTCCATTCACTCCTATCGAACACGCTCATGCACGCCTGCTGGAAGTCCAAGCCCCTTGCCCACAAAACCTCCCTTACCCCTTCCTTCCAACCTTTTCGAGGACGACCCCTACCCCACCTTCCTTCTCCTACAGATTTAAATGCTCTCCATGTCATTCTACTTTGATCCATTCTCTCTAAATGACCAAACCACCTCAACAACCCCTCTTCAGCCCTCTGACTAATACTTTTATTAACTCCACACCTTCTCCTAATTTCCATACTCCGAATTTTCTGCATAATATTTACACCACACACTGCCCTTAGGCAGGACATCTCCACTGCCTCCAACCGCCTCCTCGCTGCTGCATTCACAACCCAAGCTTCACACCCATATAAGAGTGTTGGTACTACTATACTTTCATACATTCCCTTCTTTGCCTCCATAGATAATGTTTTTTGACTCCACATATACCTCAACACACCACTCACCTTTTTTCCCTCATCAATTCTATGATTAACCGTATCCTTCATAAATCCATCCGCCAACACGTCAACTCCCAAGTATCTGAAAACATTCACTTCTTCCATACTCCTCCTCCCCAATTTGATATCCAATTTTTCTTTATCTAAATCATTTGATATCCTCATCACCTTACTCTTTTCTATGTTCACTTTCAACTTTCTACCTTTACACACACTCCCAAACTCATCCACTAACCTTTGCAATTTTTCCTTAGAATCTCCCATAACACAGTATCATCAGCAAAAAGTAATTGTGTCAATTCCCATTTTGTATTTGATTCCCCACAATTTAATCCCACCCCATTTTATATGCCCACCAATTTATAATTCTTCAAGAAACTACGTAAATAAAACATCTGGCATGTTCCTCTTAAATTTCTGTGACAGACAGAACTGAAAAGTTTTGTCTACATTTTTCACTTAATACAACAAAAGTTCTGTTGATATTATATGATACTACATAATTTCTAATACAATATATATGTATTTTATCCTTTCTTTTCTTAAATTAACCAACTGCAAGGCTACTTTCCATATACGTACATACAGTATTATACTAAGAAAATATCACGTATGACCCTGTCTTACCTAAATTTAGAGCCATATATAGACTTGCCACCAGTACCATTACCATTGGTGAAATCGCCACCCTGGCACATAAAGTTGGGTATGACTCGGTGAAAAATAGAACCCTTAAATCCAAAACCTTGTTCTCCAGTGCACAGCTGACGGAAATTTTCTGTAGTTTTTGGCACCACATCTGAACGAAGCTGAAAAACAGTACAACAGGAAGTATTTAAATAACAAAAATATACACTTGGAAAACTACTAGTCTCTTTTTATTAACACTAAAATAAAATGTAATTAATGAACAGTACTGTACTGTAGTATTATACTGTACAATGCAGTACTTTCATGAGATTTCTGTTCACTCTTGAGGCTAGAGAGAGGTGGTGATTAGCATACAAATACGTACAGGGTAGGTCAAATGATATAGGGCAAAAGTGAGATAATTTTATTTTGACATTTCACCTACAAGAGGCTTGTGGTGCTGGATAAGGTCTCATGTACAGTAGGTCAGAAATTATAACCAAAAGATCTCCTTTCCTACAAGTGTTTTTAACCCTTTCACTATCTTGTATGTAGATATACATTAACCCGTAAACGGTCCAAGCAGATCTACGTTCACATGTGTAGTGCTACAAAAGTAGATCACGCTTTTTTTACATATTTTCAAATGTAACAAAAAAAAAGTAGATCAAAGTTTTTTTTACACATTTTCAAATGTAAAAAAACAAAAAGAAGATCTACTTTTTTTACATACTTTCAAATGTTGAAAAAACGTATATATATATGTTTGTGGACCGTTTACGGGTTAATGATACCAGTATTACTTATGAAAATTACATTTTAAGCACAGCACCCTCAAATAGGGCATGGCGAGTTGTAAATTTTAGCCTAAACAAGAGACTGGGTCTGTGCTTTAAGTGTGCACAATATTAAAAAAAAATTCTGCCCAATGCAGTACATGATGAAAAAAAAAAATCACTGATCTTGTGTTTAGTTTATAATAGTGACACAGGCATTTTCTAGGGTGGTTTTTATGGTATTATTAGCCGTTTCTGTGTATTGATAGAATGGAATACATACTAGTGAAATATAGACAATTTAGATCAGTTTCAGAACCAGAAGTAGCTTGAAATAGGGCTCAAAGTAGTGGAAACATTAAATTTTGGTGATTTTCCTAAGGAAGGCTAGGGTTCACCCCCCTATTCCTCCTCAAGTCTGTTTTATGGGTTTTTATTAGGTACGATTTTATTATCGCAATGGCCTAAACCATGACCACTTATTCTTTGTTATATTTTATTAACTGGGAAATTGTTGAATTTTTTAAATTTGCAAAATTACCAACTTTTGTGCATGTTATAGTTGTTCTGATAGTTGAATGGGCAGTTTCTTATGTTCTTGTACTCAATTGATAGAGCAGAAGGCATACTAGTGAAATAACTAAAAAATTGGTCAAATTGAGCAATGGAATGGGCCTAAAAATAGAGTGGTGAAATTGCGAATGTTTAATGGCACCCAGACCGCTAATTTTGCATCTGTGTAATTCTATAAATTTTCAATCAATTTCACATTTTTGATGTTATTACCTAAAAAAATAAAAAATAAAAGATTCTTTACCATTTTAGTATTTTTTCTTTTAAAAATCGTTATGCTGTCAGCACTATCCTGGTAACTATAGGATAAGATTTTGTTCGGATTTTTAACTCCAGAGGTTTAGCCACTCAGGATAACCCAAGAAAAGCAGTGCATCATTAAGGACTGTATCTTATTTCCACTGCAGTCTTCAATCTTGTTCCCCAGGATGCAACCCACACCAGTCGACTCACACCCAGGTACCTACTTGCTTGCTAGGTGTAAGGAAACACCCTGCCGGGGATCAAACCACAGACACTCAGTGTGTGAAGCGAGAGCATTGCCTACCAGGCCAGGTGCCACCAATTTCATGTAGATTACTCCTGCTCATCATGGTACAGTATTCTGCTCTTACAAAAAAATCTGATTAAGAAACTAAATTATCCAAAGTCTGATGGTAAAATTTTTTCCTGGACTACTGTGCAAGGAAAATGTAAGCCAGGAAAGACTACAAACATTAGAAATGCTAAATGACAATGAAGTAGCTGAATTTAAAACATGTCTACAAATGCTAACAAACAGACTATGTTGAGCAAATTATTATTATTATTGTTGTTATTATTGGTCCCCTTTAACACCTTCACTGTCAGAAGTCTCAAAATTATATGTGCTCAAAGTGTTGGCATTTAAAAAAAAAAAAACATGTTTTACTTATGAAATGGTAGAGCATCTTTTTCTGAAGGTAATAAACACCAAAAAAAATAAATTTTTAAAGGGGCACAATTTATGAAATACAATTTTTCCCCCCAGTTTTGAGTCCTAACCTAAAAATTCCATTAATAAATTTAAACCAAATTTTTAGAAATTTTGCAAAATGCCTTTTTTTTCTTTGATTGAGCACAAGACTGTCCATTCTTTTATCAGAACAAACCTTAAGTGCACAAAAGTCAGAATTGGCAAAATTAAAAAAAAAAAAAAAAAAATAAAACAAATAGAGTCCAAAAAAACACTAGAATTCACACCTAATGCAAAAAAAATTCCACTTTTCATTAACATGTCCCATACCTCTCCTATATACCTTGCCCCCATTTTGAATTCAGCAAAAAAAAATAGAAGTTTCCCCTATTTCCATCACACCGGGATTACCCAGATAAATTGATACTTTAATAAAAAATAAACCAACAAACAAAACCCACCAAACCCAACCTAAAATTTTTAAAACCTAACTTACTTTGCCATTGGCTGATATACATTCCTGTAAATACCTATAAAAAAACATGTACACAAAGAAAAATATAACATTCAGGGAAAGCACTAAATCTGTAAGGATCATAAACACCAGGAGAAGGGGTGGAAATCGGGTTGCGAAAAAGGGGGGAGGGTAGCTCCAATTCCTCAGGTCAAGAGCTTTCACCAGCAGCACCTAGCACCAGCACCTAGCACCAGCACCTAGGCACCTTCACTAAAGGGCCTAAAGAAAATACATTTTTAAAACTATTTATAAACACTATTTAGAGTATCTTAATTACCTTGTCGCCATATAACCCTAGTAAACTACCAGTGCAATATGAATGAAAAAACATACTTTTTTTTACTTTTTTTTTTTAAAAAATTTTTACTTACTAAAATTTTATTAAACACCATTTTTTACTACCATCAAATTTTACTTTTTTACATTAAACCCTTATTTTTATACTTTCCCCTAACATTTTTTTTGCCAAAATTTTCAATTTTCAATTCAACTCCCAACCCTTTTTATTATCCTTTGTACCTGCAAAAACCCTTCATAATATAACAAACATTTCCATTATTCATTGTTTTTTACCTGTCCATTTAAAAATTTTTTTACACTACTTGTTTTTTTAGCACTTTTTAAATTTTGTGGCAATTGTGATATTCCAATTACTTTTTTTTCAAGTACCAAACTATCTTTTTCTAGCTTACCAATACCTCATTTTTTTTTTTTTTTTACTTTTTTTGTGCAATAATGCTCAACTTATTTAATATTACAAATCAGATCTTACTCCTAAACCCAAAATTATTTCATGTGACTATCGTCCCCTTTAACTTTTTACCATTACCAATTTTAGTCCCTTTAATTTTTTTTTCCTTTTTTTAGCTCCATATAACTACCTTAATCATATATTCGCAATTTTTAAAATAAACAAGGGGCATTTTCCCGGTCTAAAGTTAATAATTCACTATTTTGGCCATTATACCCAAAGCTCTTTTTTTTGATTACCACTTATTGTTCACCAAACTTTTATTAGTCCCTTTTTATTTTAAATTTTTTATTTAATTTAAACTTTAAAAATTACCTTAAAGTACACCCCAAAAAT